GGGTTCGAGCCGTGCGTCGGGCTCTGTGCTGATAGCTCAGAGCCTAGAGCCTGCTTCGGATTCTGTGTCCCCCCTACCTTTCTCTCTCTGCCCCTCCCCCGCTTGTGTGGCGCTCACAGTCTCTCACTCTCTCTCTCTCTCAAAAATAAATAAACATTATGGGGCGCCTGGGTGGCGCAGTCGGTTAAGCGTCCGACTTCAGCCAGGTCACGATCTCGCGGTCCGTGAGTTCGAGCCCCGCGTCGGGCTCTGGGCTGATGGCTCGGAGCCTGGAGCCTGTTTCCGATTCTGTGTCTCCCTCTCTCTCTGCCCCTCCCCCGTTCATGCTCTGTCTCTCTCTGTCCCAAAAATAAATAAACATTAAAAAAAGTTAAAAAAAAATAATAATAACATTATGACCAAACGAACACAGGAACACAAGGAACACAAGGCTGGTTTAAGATTAAAAAAAAATCAATCGACATATCACATTAACAGAATAAAAGAGAAAAACTATATTCCATCTCAATATACGCAGAAAAGGCATTTCACAAAAACCAACACCCAGTTACGATAAAAATTCTCAGCACACTAGGAGTAAAGGGGAACTTTCTCAACCTGATAACGAGTATGCAAAAGACGGAGTGGAGCAGGAAGATTTGTGGAATACACTGGGAGGGGGAAGTCAAAATGCAGGAGGAGAGTCTGGAATGTGGGGTCTTGCGCCGGGAGTAGAGCGTGTTACAGAAGGAGAAATGCTCTACTGCATTGCATGTGGCTGAGGTGGAGAAAGTTGAGGACAGAGGCCTTTCTGTGGAGGTCACTGGTGGCCTTGTAGAGAGCAGAACTGCTGCACGGGTCCCTCCGCCTTTTACTTCCCACACTGTTCTTCGTGTACCTTAGAATTATTTCACATACTTCCACTCAAGAACAAAGCAAAATAATCAACATGTTAACAAGTTCCAGAAAAAGGCAGAGCTTACTGGGCTTTCCTTAGGCCCACTGACTGATGCTGAACCTAAGACTCTGATAGGTCTATTTAATACGATAGAAATCCCAGGGTTTAGAATAAAGCTGGCAGGGCACCTGGGTGGCTCAGTCAGTTAAGCATCTGACTTCGGCTCAGGTCATGATCTCACGGTTCATGGGTTCGAGCCCCGCGTCGGGCTCTGTGCTGACAGCTCGGAGCCCGGCGCCTGCTTCGGGTTCTGTGTCTCCCTCTCTCCCCGCCCCTCCCCTGCTCATGCTCTGTGTGTGTCTCTCTCTTTCTCAAAAATAAATAAACATTAAAAAAAAGAATTAAAAAAAAAAAATAAAGCTGGCACTCAATGACTATATAGTGAATAAATGAATGAATACATATGTCAGACCCTGTTGTTATTCCTGATTAGATATTCCTTCCCTCCCTAGAGTGAGGACCATTGAACTTGACCTGAATCCTCCCCTGCTCCATCTCTGGAACTAGTCCTGACACTGGGAATGGATTTTAAAACAACAGGAAGCTCAACAGGTTTTCATGCTGTCGACAATTACAGCGAGATTTGTTTCTCTTTTGCCATATCGCTTAAAAACCGGCTGGACACGTTTTCACCAAGTTTGGAGTGCTAGACAGGATGATCTGACTTAAATATGGCTTATGAAAATTAACAAGGAGTTAATTTCAGCAGAACCTGGACGATGCCCCAAAAAGCTCATCATCTTAAACAGAACAACTGAAAGTCAGAAACAAAGCGAGCCCTAGATGCACCGTAAACCAAATAGCAAAGGGTGGTTTTAGGGGCGATCTGGGTGGTTCTGTCGGTTAAGTGTCCACTTTGGGTCGGGTCTTGATCTCACAGTTCATGAGATCGAGCCCTGTGTCAGGCTCTCTGCTGTCGGTGCAGAGCCTGCTTGGGATCCTCTGTCCCCACTTTCTCCCTCTCTCTCTCTCTCTCTCTCTCTCTCTCTGTCTGTCTCTCAAAAGTAAAAATAAACATAAAAAGAAAAGACTTTAAGTTTAAAATAAAAAAGTGGTATGAGGCAGCCATCAAATCATAGGATGGGTAATGCTGCAAGCTGCAAGCAATGTTTTGCAGTTAAGCTGCTTCTGAAGATGTAACTGGGTGCAGTGTGCTCCAGGCCAAAGAGAGTAGGGTTCACTTATTACATGGCAGTGACTGACCTCCCAGAGTAAATCAAATCAATGTAAATAATAACCACATGGGACGCCTGGGTGGCTCAGTCAGTTAAGGGTCTGACTTTGGCTCAGGTCATGATCTCACATCTCAGCTGACAGCTCATAGCTTGGAGCCTCCTTCCAATTCTGTGTCTCCCTCTCTCTCTGCTCCTCCCCTGCTCACACTCTGTCTCACTCTCAAAAATAAACAAAAACAAAATTTTCTTTTAATTTTTAAAAAAAATTTTTTTAATGTTCTTATTTATTTTTGAGACAGAGAGAGACAGAGCATGAGCAAGGGAGGGGCAGAGAGAGAGAGGGAGACACAGAATCCGAAGCAGGCTCCAGGCTCTGAGCCGTCAGCACAGAGCCCGACGCAGGGCTCGAACTCACGGACTGTGAGATCATGACCTGAACCGAAGCCAGATGCTTAACCGACTGAGCCACCCAGATGCCCCCCAAAAAATTTTTTTAATAAAATAAAATAATAATCACAGCTAACACTTATGAAGGGATTATTGTCATGCCACATGCATGTACCATCTCATCTAACCCACACAACAACCCCATGAGGCAAGGATTGCTGTTATCTCTACTTTAAAAATGAGGAAAGGGGGCGCCTGGGTGGCGCAGTCGGTTAAGCATCCGACCTCAGCTCAGGTCACGATCTCACGGTCCGTGAGTTCGAGCCCCGCGTCGGGCTCTGTGCTGACGGCTCAGAGCCTGGAGCCTGTTTCAGATTCTGTGTCTCCCTCTCTCTCTGCCCCTCCCTGTTCATGCTCTGTCTCTCCCTGTCTCAAAAATAAATAAACGTTAAAAAAAAATTTTTTTTTTAATTTTAAAAATGAGGAAAGTAGGATTCAGAGCCATGAAATGACTTGTGCAAGGTCACTCAGCAAGAAGGTGGCGGAATGCAGTTCAAATGCAGGTTGTCCAGCTCCTGGATCCAGCCTGACTTGGCCTCCAGTTACTATAGGGGTCTCTGTTTTGTCTCTTGGGTCTGAGGAGCTCTGGGCCTGGAGCTCTGCCTTGGGCTTCCTCTGGAACATCTCATCCCATCCAAGGGAATCAGAATCCCACCTACACCCCCTCAACCACCTGTACCCTATCATAAATGTACAATTTTGCCATAAAAGCTTACACCTTCGGCAATTTACATGCACTCGCTAATTGTTCAAAAAAAGTTGGCGTGTAAAAAATCCGTCAGATAAATCTAGTTAAAGAACCACAGCAAGAATCATTCAGCGAGAACGATACTTTAGGCAAACAGCCAGCTCACTCTGCACCGTCCCTTTCTAATAAACACAGCAGCGATGATGGAAAGCAACGTCTGGGGAAAATAACACCCGACAGAAACCAGGAAGACGAATACTTTTGACTATTAAAGTGGAACACTGATCTCTGCATCTGACACTATAAAGTTATGAACTCTTCAATTGACAAAGAGCCGTCATAACTTGACTTCCTTTTTAGGAATACCTCTTGCCAAAGTCAGTTCAGCATCAATTTTCAAACCAATTGTGACAACTGACGCGCGTACCTCTCTGAAATCGTGACGAAGAACTGGGAGGTGGCAGGTATGGGCCCCAGCAGGTTAATCACAGCAGCAGCCACTGGGAGTGCCAGTGAATGTTTAACAACTGCCTCTCTGGAGGAACAAGCCCAGATTTGGAGCACTTGCTGATTTCCAGGGTATGAATACTCCCACCGTGGCTGGATTTCAAGCTACTGAGGTGACCAGTAAACACAGAGTTGGGCAGAGATGGGCACAGTGGGCTCTCAGGAGATGTTGTGAACAGGGTCCAGCCAACCGCTCGCGATCGCCAATATTTATGGGTTACGGACTATGTGCCAGGCATGTGCTAAGTGCTTCACAGCTATCCTCTTTGAATCCTTGTAACGGGACAATGGGCAGGTACCGTTTTATTCTCATTTTACAGATGAGAGAAAACTAGGTCTTAGAGAGGCTGAGTAGCTAGTCAAAGGGCACACAGCTGGCAAGCGTTAAGAGCTGGCATTCGAATCCTGGCCATCTGGCTCAGTGGTCCATGTTGTCGACCCCTCTTTAACCCTGCCGCTCTGTAAGTGGTTAAAAGAAGGTATCGCGATCATCCCCACCTCGTTCTACAGATGACACGTTGCTAAAGAGTAAAGAGTAAGCTTTGGGGGTAACGGGCAATGGGGCAAAAGGGACTGACTCGCAGCAGCCAAGGAAGGGCCTTTCTCTTCCTCTTCCGGTAAGTTTAACCTTGTCCTTCAAAACCCATGCCAGACGTTTCCTCTTTAATGGAGCCTTTCCCAACTGTCCCAGAGGCACTACTCCCCAGATAGCTTTTCCTTGCAAAAATTTTAAGTTTTCCCTTGTAAGATAACCATGCTCATTAAAGAATATCAAAGGGAACAGCAAATATCAAATAGAAAGAGGAAAATCTCTTGTGGCCCCACTTCCTCCCCACAGCATTTGATCCATATTTGTTCTAGGGGATTCAGCCCCCTACACGGTGACTATCTATTATGTGTTTCACTCTCACGGACGGTGAACTTCTGAGAAGATGTCCCGTGTTACCAACATTTGCAGCTACATTTAGCCCCACACCCACCCCCCTCCATCCTCATCCCTGCACAACACCAGACACGTGGCTGCCCCCAAACCCCCCCCCACCACCGGCCCCATTAACCCAGATGCTTCATCATGTCTTCTGACGCAGAAAAGGAAACGCTAAGCTTCTGTGGTTATCTTCGAAGCTGTCATAATCTTAACCAAAATCGGTTTTCTTCGTTTGCCTTGAACACACTGACAACGTTCTTGCCGTCCTCGGTGGGGCGGACAGGGGAGGGCTGCCTTGCAGCAGGCATCTTTCCTTACCTGCATCCCTCTCATCTTCTGGAACCGTGCAATGGTGTCGCTGATGGTGTATACGCGCACGTGGCCCATGTGCAACTTTCCGGAAGGGTAAGGGAACATGGAAAGCACGTAAAACTTGGGCTTCGATTTCTGGGAAAGAATGACAAAGAATGACAGTGAGTATATCTTAAGCATTTACTGAGACCCTGCGTGCACACAGTATTTTGGCACTGTACTCAAGGTCAATAATTTAACATTGTTTAAAGTTTCCTTAAAAACAAAAAAAACAAAAACAAAAACAAAAACTGGGGCACCTGGGTGGCTCAGCCAGTTAAGTGTCCGACTTCGGCTCGGGTCATGATCTGGCGATTTGTGAGTTCCAGCCCTGCATCGGGCTCTGTGCTGACAGCTCAGAGCCTGGAGCCTGCTTCGGGTTGTGTGTCTCCCTCTCTCTGTGCCCCTCCCCAGCTCGTGCACGTGCCCACACTCTCTCTCTCTCTCCCTCTCTCTCTCTCTCTCAAAAATAAACATTAAAAAAAAATTTTTTAATATTCCCATAAACTGACAAACATGTCAAAAAACAAAATCCAAAGCCCGTTTAATAATTCTTTTTTTTTTTTTTTAACGTTTATTTATTCTTGAGACAGAGAGAGACAGAGCATGAACGGGGGAGGGGCAGAGAGAGAGGGAGACACAGAATCGGAAGCAGGCTCCAGGCTCTGAGCCATCAGCCCAGAGCCTGAAGCGGGGCTCGAACTCACGGACCGCGAGATCGTGACCCGGGCTGAAGTCGGATCCTCAACCGACTGAGCCACCCAGGCACCCCCAAAGCCCAAGTTTAAGCTAAACAATGTCCAAAATAATGCCAAACAACCCCAAAGTGCTAATTACCCATATATATTTTCAATCCTTTTTTCCCTCTCTTTTAAAAGCTTCTCTTTTAAGACAGTTTCTGTCTAGGTCTTAAAGAACTTATGTTTTTCCAAATGAAGCTCTAAGACACATTTCCGTGTAATTCAAGGACACGATAGTTGAATCACACAGATGTGACATCTCAAAAAAAAAAAAAAAAAATGGAGCCCTTCCTAAATTCCCTGTCGTTGCATTCAGACTCAGAGTTAGCAGTTAGAGCAGGACTCCTGAGGCACCAGTTTGGGTCCTGGGTTTCTCTGCTGTACTGTGAACTCATCTTTCAACAGACAAAGTTGAAGTGAGAAAGTGATGAGAAAACCATAGACAACAAGGCAAGGCAGTTTCTGTCTTCCCAGGGGCGAGCTACAGCCAGCCTCACGCCAGGGTGAGAGAACCTTCTAGCTGCTGAAGACACGGCTTCATCGCGAGAAACAGAAAGAGCCTACGTGCATCTGAACGGAGTGAACACCAGTCACTTAACCGGTTCCTAGTTAGGGGTCCGTGTTTCAAGGGCACGGGCTGGGTTTCAGTCATCTCCCTCTCCCTAAACCCCCCTCCCCTCAGTCTATGCGGGCCCCCCCCCCCGCCGCCGCTCCCAGCAGGAGCTTAATATCTGGCCTCCACAGAATACTTTAAAGGGCATTTTTTCCCAGCTACACGAATCCTGTCCAGGCGACGGGAGCATTCCCCCTACCCAGCCTACATCCACCCCCTCCTGGCAGGGCTCTCAGAAGAAAGGCAGAAGAGATACCTGCTTCTGTTTGGTCTCTGAGGGCGGGGACCTTCTGATGTTGCCACTCTTTTATTTCTCTCTACCTTCTGTTTTTCTCCTTCTGTCCTTCCTCCTTTCCTCCAGCCCTGCTAGAGTTCTTCAAGGCTTTGCTTCTCCAAAAGTAATGAAAACAAACGCAAACCAGAATATTCGTGACCATTCCTTTGTGTACAGAGGTGGTCGTGGTATATTTGTTGCTACGTATTTGCATGGCTGATCATGGACACGGCCAGCTATAATCGGGGGAGCAGAGGAAACAAGAAATCAGGGTATTTCCAAATCTCACTTGACCCATTGCTTTAAAGTTCCTTCGGCAAAGAAGCTCAACCAACCTTTGACAGGGCCTCTCACGTGTGGCAAAATACACTAGAATTTTCTCTGGAAGGCCCATCCTCCAAAAACTACCAGTGAGTGGTAAGTCAAGCAGCCTGATAGAAGAAAAGGGAAAAGAGAATCCATAGAAGTCTGGATAACACCCAAACCAGAAAATCATGGAATGCTCAAGTGGCAACCACAATTGATTTCCATAAATCTGCTTTCCAGAAATTGATTTCCAGAAAGCTGCACGCACACTGATCAGACTTGAACTGGAAACCGCAGATCCGTAACCCTCAGGAAAACCTCAGGAGACGGGCCCTGCAGTTTGGACCGTCTTTAAGAAGGAAAGTCACATGCGGTGCCTGGGCGGCTCAGGAGGTGGGGCGTCTACTTCAGCTCAGATCAGGATCTTGTAGCTCGTGAGTTCGAGCCCCGCGTTGGGCTCTGTGCTGGCAGCTCAGAGCCTGGAGCCTGCTTCGGATTCTGTGTCTCCCTCTCTCTCTCCTCCTCCCCTGCTTGCGCTCTGTCTCCCTCTCTCTCTCTCAAAAATAAATACATTAAAAAAAAAAGAAGAAGAAGAAGAAGAAGAAGAAGGAAAGCGACAGGTAATCCTCTCAGTGTAAACCAGTCCCTCAAAGGAGGTGCCAGGCCTTACTCCGTCACTGGGTGCAGAAACAGAAGTAAGCAAACTGTCCACTCCATCCAAATCACACTGCTTCTCACAATGGATTAGGTTTATTGCCTTTTCTTTGGGAATATTTGGGGACGTGGGAAAAAAGCTATTACAGAGTTCTTGAGGATCTGAAAAATCAATAAAATCCTTGATATAAACCATTTCTCATTTTTCCTTTTAAGTTTTTACATTAAGCCTATTTTTCTTTTATTATAACCACCTTGTCTTCATTTTAGTGATATTTATTTATTTTTATGTTACGTTTATTTAACCCTCGATCTTGCCCCAAACATTTTCCACACACAGCTTCTTCCTGAGTGTCTCCTTTCTGGAGGTCTGTCCCACAAAGACTTAATTTATAGCAGAACTGAGTGATGCATTGCATACCAACGAAGCCAAACCCCAAAACTGAGCTTACGGAAGATATATAGAAAAGCAGTGCCAGCAAAAGTCTTGGATATTTATGACTATTTTTGTTTATTGCAGAAAAGGTATCCAGCTTATTTAGTGACCCTGCCTTTCGCTGTTCTGTGTGAATTAAGTCATTTTCCTCCGTGATAATGAAACGGGCTCTCTATCCTCTGGGGATGGCAAGAAGGAATTATGGGAGTGTACGGTATAACTAAGCAGGAATATGATTGAAAGGGAAATTTTCGTAATTATATAAAAGTGTAAGAACGTAAGCCTTTAAAAGAAATTAAGATCGCAAGCAATGGGAAGAGGATGGTTTTTATAAGTGGGACCTATTATTTTTGTCAGGTTCTGACGTCAGGAGAAAGAGAACTTCTGCCTCTTTATAGATTAAGTTCCAGAGCTGTTGCTGAGCCCAGAGGGGGCGGATAGAAGGACCCGGGAGCCCTCGTTCTGGCCCTGGCCTCTCTACTGGCTGTGGGACCTTGGGCAAATTCCTCTGCCTCTCTGGGCTCAGTTCGCACTCTGTGCATCAAAGGTGAGGCGCAACGGAAGGTCCCAGGCATGTATCTCAATAAATTACCAAACCTCCCTCTGAGCCTGTTTTCTTACCCTCCAAAAAATCCCCAGGGTTGTTTCAGGATTAAATGAGGTAATGAATGGAAAGATAGTGCCTGACATAAAATCCTTATTAAGTGGAACTTCTTTTAATACCGAAGATCCCGACGATAATGGCAAGACACTCGTCTCCTAGACACTCACCTGGGGGTATTTCAAACATATCTTTTTTGATCTTTTTTTAAAAGTTTATTTATTTTTGAGAGATACAGAGAGAGAGAGAGAGAGAGAGTGCGCGCGTGCTCACGTGTGCAGGGGAGGGGCAGAGAGAGAGAGAGGGAGAGAGAGAATCTCAAGCAAGCTCCAAGTTGTCAGCACCCGGGCCTGACACGGGGCTCAAACCCACAAACTGTGAGATCATGACCTGAACTGAAACCAAGAGTCGGGTGTTTAACCGACTGAGCCACCCAGGTGTCCCTCAAATATATCTAAGACCAGAGTGAGGACAATTAAGCTTCAAAGTCCACTGACATCCAGGGGCGCCTAGTGGCTCAGTCGGTCAGGTGCCTGACTCTTGCTTTCAGCTCAGGTCATGATCTCACGGTTTCGTGAATTCGAGCCCCACATCGGGCTCTGCACTGGCAGTGCAGAGCCTGCTTGAGAGTCTCTCTCTCTCCCCCCCTCACTCTCTGCCCCTCCCTCCCTCACTCTGTCTCTGTCTCTCTCAAAATAAATAAATAAACTTAAATCCACCAACATCCGGTTGTGTTCTTTGTTCCCGACAAAGACACCACACATTTTTATCTTCTTGTGCCTTTTATTTATGTAACATTGCCGCGTGTAAAATGTGTTCGGCCACATCTGCTCATTTGATTTTCAAAACAATTCTGTGAGATAAACCATGCGAAGAATCTGAGCATCGAAGAGGTTACGTGACAAGGCCGCGAGCACGCGGAGGTCTCGAGGCCGAGCCCGCAACACTGCCCAGGTTCCAGAGCCCGGGTTCCAGATCCATCATACAGCACCTTGTCCACCTGCCCACTCCCCATCCAAACCCTGAAAGGGTGCCACCAGGGGATCACCCACGATATCCCTTCAACTACTTCTGCAATTATGGATACACAGTTTCAAGTGATCCATCTGATTTTTTTTTTTTTTAAACCACACAGTACTTAAGAAGAAGGAGGCGCCACAAAATCAGTAAGCTCCAACTTTAAAATGTGTGGAAGCCACTAAAGGATAATCTAAACCAAAAAGAAAAGCGAATTTTACTCTCCTCATTCAGAAGCGAACCGCTCCCTAGTTCGTTTCCAAAATACATTTAGGCACGTGAGTCTGGTCGTGTTGATGTGAAGGTTCTTCGCGTCCTGACGAGGCGGAAGTCGGGCGTTCACGGTACAATCACGCGTTATACTCAAACCTTCTTTTTTATCGTTCCACTTGTTATCCACTGCACCTCTCTCTAACCAATGCCCGAAACCATCCTTCGCTTTAACACAAATAACTACCCCCGGCATGTTTCATAGTGATCACGCTCACGGAAGGAATGAGTCTAAAAAGAGTGAGGATCAGGAGATGGGAAACAGCCAAGTCTAGTCAAGAGCACTTTGGCGCAGTTGTATTTACTCACCTGCTTGCCTTTGGCCCCATCTCTTTAACTAGATGCAGAAGGTTTGTATCATTCGGTAACTATTACAAAGGGATGGTCACAATTTAAGAGTAAACGACCTTACGGCACTTGGCTCTGATCAGATTCACCATTTCACGTAACAAATGACATCTCCCATTTGTTATTTTGACCAGCAGCAAGAGGTGAGGGTTACCACGTCCAAGAGGAATCCCCGAGAGGCTGGACTCCTAGACAAGGAGCCAGCCTCCAACACAACGCCCCCTGGAAACCGGCTACAACCAAACACTGGACACAATTACTCAAGTACGGTGCTGAGCTGATACGTCCTGGGCGGAAGCCAAGGATTCACTACCTCACCCATCTGTCACTGCAAGCCTGGGTCCCAGCCCCCCAGATCACACCAGGGAAGGGCTGGTACCTCCCAACCCATGATGGCTGGAGGCCAACATCATGCCAGGGGAGAGGAAGGTGCTTCCCAGAATATGCAGATTAAACTTCCACAGGTGAGGGGCGCCTGGGGGGCTCAGTCGGTTAAGCATCCAACTTGGGCTCAGGTCATGATTGCACGGTCAGTGAGTTCGAGCGCCACATCAGGCTCTGTGCCGACAGCTCGGAGCCTGGAGCCTGCTTCGGATTCTGTCTCCCTCTCTCTCTGCCCCTCCACTGCTTGTGTTCTGTCTCTCTGTTTCTCTCTCTCTCCCTCTCCCTCTCAAAACACATAAACATTTAAAAAAAATTTGTTTTAAAGAATGCCTCTCATATTTAAAAAAATAACAATAATAATAAATGTTTTAAATAAGTTCTACAGGTGAGAGGTCCGGGGTACTCCTGGAACCTCACATCTGACCCTGCTGGATCACCAGGTGCGCTGGCCCGCAATGGACCGTGAAGAACCTAACACCTGCTAGGGCTTCACTCTCGATGAGCCCCCCCCCCCCCCAATGCTGCTCCAGAGCTGCCTGCATGCACCTTGTGTGTAAGCACCACACAGAACGCCTTCTAAGCACTATCCTCGTCCGATCTCACTCAGCCCTCACAACCATCCTAGGAAGCAGGAGGACACTACTATGTGCACTGTCCCTGGTTGAGAAGAAACGTGAGGCACAGATTCAGTTGGTTCAAGGTCACACACTTAATACCTTATTTGAACTCGGGCGATCTGACTTCAGAATCCAAGTTCTTGGCTCCTCTTCCCTACCCCCTCAAAATCCCTCAGAATACTCACATCAGCTTCTGATATCTTGGAGGTTTCTTCTTTTATTCGTGTATGCCACCAATTCTCAACATCCTTCCTCGTCTGCAACGTGTACTCTTTCGTCCACGTCCCCGTGGCACTGTAAATACCTCTGGCACATCCCAGGATTACTCTCCTTCCTCTGCTGATGATATCTGGCCCACCATTTAGCTTGCTTCTCAGGAAACAGACATAGAAACCCAGTCTCCGCCAAGCAGAAGCCATTCTCCAGAAGGTGGGAAGGCCCTGAGAAAGAGGGCAGAAAGCTCTTTTAGGAACTGCCCAGAACTCTCTCCCGTTCAGCACAGCCCAGCATTCCCTGCACATTCACATGCTTTCAACTTAGGCTCTGGACGGTTTCCTTCCCTGAAAATGTCACATCAGAACTCCAACTGAGTTGGGCTGCCTGGGTGGCTCAGTCAGTTGAGCGTCTGACTTTGGCTTAGGTCATGATCTCACGGTTCGTGGGTTCGAGCCCCACACTGGGCTCGCTGCTATCAGCATAGAGCCCGCTTCGGATCCTCTGTCCCTCTTTCTCTCTGTCCCTCTCCCACTCACGCTGTCTCCCTCAAAAAAAATTAAATATTAAAAAAAGAAAAGAAAAGAACGTTGACTGAGCTAAACACAAACTTTTAAATGGAAAATATAACATGGTCAACATTCCCAACCCCAAACATACAAAACTCCCACAGGAACGAATGGAGACTACCTCCTGGGCCAGCTCCTGCCACAGCCTCACAGGGTGCACGGGAGGCCGAGGAGCGCCCGCCCTCCTTTCCTTTAGGCCCAGCCCAGGGTCTGTCCAGCAGGCTTCCCGTCCCATCACCCAGGCTTCAGAAGAGCTCCGAGCACAGCTTGGCTTGGGCTTAGGCTCAAATGTCAGAAGGGATCTGAACACCCACCTTCTAGCTCCAGGGTCCAGAGACTCGCAGCTATTATTAACATTTTTCATATGTATTGTAAGTTATATACACCCGTAAGCTGAGCCAAGAAATAACTATTATTTGTAAGAGTGCTTATTCAGTTAGTTCTTCATTCATTTACTAAATATTTATCGAGTGCCACTAGGTCCACAGACTGTTCTAGGCACGGGGGATACAACGGTGAACAAAACCCAACTCTCTTCTCCCATGGCACTTACATACTAGTAAAGAACAGCAGATAAGAGAAAAACAAGTAAATATACATGGATAATAGCGGTGAGTGCTATGGTGCTTCTGGAATACAACCCACAGGTTGGGGTCCACCAGGACATCTGGCTGCAATTCAAAATTCAGCCGGAATGCTTCATTGGTCTCCGCCAAGGAGGTGAATTCCAAAGATGACTTCATGGAAGCATTTTCACGTTTTATCCCTGTCTAAGAGGTTGAGGTGACAGTTCGTCAAATATTTAAGATTTATGACTCAACGGCCTCACCTGCCTGCCTTCTTACATAACCGTGCAAAAAAAGCACCAGGGTGAAGACACAAATGTAAAACCAAGAGAGAAATAAAGGAAGAACCTGACACTTGAAGCTGGTGTTAATTCTTTGATTCTCTCAACATTTTTTCCACACTTACGAGCGTCTGGCCTGTTTTCACACAGGTACTGGGTCACGAATGTTGCCAAGAGACTCTATCATAGGCTTACACAAGTGGGCTTCACATTCCCGTAAAATGGCATCCCAGTGTTGGCATTTTACAAGACGGTCTGCCAAAGTTCTTGACAGACCAAGTCTCACTGTATTTAATACCTCTTGCTTCCTTGGGGGTCGAAGCAGAAAGACAACAAAAACAAAACAAAACCTATCCACGGGGCTTGGCTATTCTGAAATATGTAGATGTGACTAGAGATATTAGGGTGAACTGTATGAACATGGTTGAGTATCAGCAACTCCATATGACCAACCTAATATAGAGACGCTTTGTACAGTTAGGGTAACTGCATTTATTTTTAGGGGTTGGGTTTCTACATAATTAGAAGTATCCACAGGAGTCATGGATTTTATGGCTCCCTTGCTAAGGTATCATTTCCATATCTTTAACAAGCCAAAGACTTCCCAATCAGCAGAAGGCATAGATAGACGCCTGCCATTTCTCTCCTGGACGGCATTCCCTAACAACTCATAACGAAAGGGTTCTGGACTATTCTCCCCAACAGAAACAAGGGGAAACAACAAAACTATAAAAATACAAATGAATCTGGAGCGGCTGGGTGGCTCAGTCGGTTAAGGGTCTGACTCTTGATTTTGACTCAGGTCATGATCTCACGGTTTTCATGGGCTCGAGCCCCGTGTCCAGCTCCATGATCACAGCACAGAGCCTGCTCAGGATTCTCTCTCTCCCTCTCCCTGCCCCTCCCACTCCCAAAATAAATAAATAAACACTACAAAAATACAAATTAACCGGAACCGCAGTCTCACAAGTTTTTGGTTTCAATGCTTGTTAGCCACCGTGAGAAATGAAATCCCAAAGAGAGAAGACAGATCACCCATATGAGCCATACGAAGGGAGGTCATTCTTTCACCGAAAATTCTAATCCTGTCTCTGTAACTTACTCATCATACACCAATCATAAACAACACATACAACACTCCCTGTCTACCCAATGAGAATAAGCTTTCTAAATATGTTTACAGGGGCGCCTGGGTGGCTCAGTCAGTTAAGCATTCGACTTCAGCTCAGGTCGTTATCTCATGGTTCGTGAGTTCGAGCCCCACGTCAGGCTCTGTGCTGACACCTCAGAGCCTGGAGCCTGCTTCAGATTCTGTGTCTCCCTCGCTCTCTGCCCCTTCACACTCTCTTTCTCTCTCTCAAGAATAAATAAACATAAAAAAAATTTAAATATGTTTACATAACACATGGCTCACTGACAACCTCTTCTATACATAAATCAATGGTATAGACTAGAGAATCCTGAAACTGATCTGGGCATTTAAAGAACTTAAAGTTCATAAGGAAAAAAGCACAAGTCGATTAGAACTTGGAGCCCCATCTCAAAACCACAAACCAGTGTAAATCCCATAAAGATTAAAGAATTTTTTTAAGTATCATAAAACAAGACAAAAATATAGATGAGTATCTAACACATCTTTACAAGGTGCAGGATGTTCTGTCCTGAGGACGAAAGCAATGAAAGAACTCACAAAAACGTTAATAAATCTGACTCTAAAAATGTGCAATGTCAGTACTCAAAAACACTGTGAACAAAAGGAGAAATCAAGCAATGAGCTGACGCAAAATCTTTGCCAAAACGGCAGTAACAAATGATTATCCTACTCTATGAAGAGTTTACGTATGAAAAGAGAAAATTCAAAACCTAATTTAAAAAAAGGGGCAAAGGAAAAACAGAAAGAGATGTAAATGTCTAATAAACATATGAGAAAGTTCAACTTTAGAACTAATCATAAAATGCAAATGAAAACAGCAAGAAAATATTTTTGCTTAACAGACTGGCAAAAACCTGCTAAATGAAAAATGGGCATTTCTATACACTGCTGCTGAAAATTTAAATGGGTTCCACCTCTCTGGGGAGCACGCGCGGTAATAACGCACTAAGACTCTTTAAGAAAAGTTCACACCCAAAGTTAGGGGAATCCCCTAGGCTCAGGGGGACATAGCATACAGTATACTCAGGGCTATGATATGGATAAAATAAAGGAAATTTTCTACTTTTAATGTTTGTGGGCCCTGCTCCTGGGCTCCCGGGGAAAGCTATACTCTAACATATACCAAGGTCAAAGTGACTCCACGAAACCTCAAAGTACGGGCTCTATTTCTGCCTGAGCACACATCGCACATCTGCTTTATTTAAGAAATAACCAAAAAGGAGCATTCCAAACATAAGGAGAACTTCCCTGGTTCCCATAAGATTAAAGTTATACAGCCCTGCATTTACTAGAGGCGTAAGATAAGTTCTGCAACTTTCTAACATGTCCTTTGTCTAAGGATTTGTAACTTTTTATGTAAAAAAAAAGAAAAAAGTATATAACCCAATACCAAATGTTCCTTGCTAGAGCTTATATAACCCTACACCAAATGTTCCTTCACAGGAGCACTCTCTTTGTGAAGATTGTGTGTGCCAGCAGCTGTCCTAACTTGGCCTTGAATAAAACTCACTTCCTTTCTTTTAGAAATTCTAAAACCTTGGTTCAATTTGCCTTGACAATATACTACAGAACTTCCCGGAGCTCAGCAGGCCCTGCTCTCAGCCGCTCCACCACCAAAGTCCTAAAAAGGGCACTGCCTCTTCCTGACAAGGTGCGGCCATTTCATTAGCGGACTATGCTCATTCCATCAATGTGAAAGGTGTGGCTCACGCCTTGTATTTTCAGTCAACCTGGCCTTTTCTTCCTTAGCTCTGTTTCATCCAGTTCCTTGCCTCGATGCTTGGAATCCTGTCTTTTCTTCCACACCCTTCCAAAATAACAATCCCCACTCCTCTGCGCCTCTTTAGAGTCGGTCCTGACCTCATCCTCACTTGGGGCATTTACGGTTGTTTTCTGAGAATGATGGAGGCACCAACAGATGGTCAGAGGAAAAGCCTAAGAACTGGACCCAAAACGACAATCACATATGGACAGAGAAACCTAAGGGAAGAGCAGTGCAAGCAAAGAACAGCAGAACACATGGAAGAAGGGCAGGAGGGCATTTGTGTGCACCCCCCCCCACCCCAAAATGTGCAAGAATAGACCAGGGAAAGTGCATCTTAAAGAAAACAAATTTTGTGACCAAAAATACCGATTGTGGCTTCTGCAAGGACCCATTCCCTGTGGGGCCTGGGGCAAATTATCGCCTGTCGGGAATCTCATCTTCTAAGATAAGGAGGTAGACCCACAAGATCTCTGAGAACCTCCGAGCCTCAACATGCAGGGACAATAACCTCTGGGCCACGGAGATGTACCGGATGGCTTTTAGCTGAGTCCAAATCCCCAGGCCAGGAAGCAAAGATCCAGAGATGAATCGGGGCAGGGGAGCAGTAGCAAGGGAACTTGAGTACAAATCTACGTGTACACGTGTATTCATCTGGGAATGGGATAGAGTCCAGAGCTATCATCAGGGTCCATGGCTCAAAGAGTCTGAAGGCCGGGATCTCGGAGACTTACCCAGATCAGAAATTGCACGGCTCCAGAACCACCTAACCCAGCCCGCACCTTCCCTTCCTGCCCCTAGCAAGTCGGAACCTCCAGATCCGAGGGCAGAGACCTCCTCGCCCGAGGTGTCTCGTCCCGCTGAGCCCGGGTCTGGACTTTACCTGCTCACAGGCTCTGGCCTGCGGCTCCTCACGCCTCAATTCCCACCTTTAAGCGAACACGGGCCGGCCAGTCACCATGGGCGCCGCCATGTTGGCAGAACAACAACTTTATCGGTAGCGGCCGGCGCAGACACAGACAGGCCGGGGCGGAGCCGGGGGAAGCGGAGCGGGGCCGGGGCCGAACTCCCGGCAGCCCGTGGGGCGGAGGCGTCGGCGCCGGCAGCCTCGGGCTCCGCCCCCCCGTTCCCGGGCACCGCCTCCTGACTCCAAGCCCCGCCCTCCGGCTCAGTAGTGCACCCCGTCTCTGGCGTCACCAAAACCAGATACCGGGGGCTCAGATTACTCCAGTTGCTGCAGAGGAGTGAGGGACATCAGCTTAGTGGCCCCAGAATAAACTGGATGGCAGGTGGTGTAAAGAGCACTGGGAGAGTTCTGATGCCAGGGTTTGAATCCCAGCTTAGCTAAAATTGCCCGCTGGGCTTGGGTAGGTCCTTTGACCTCTTGATCCTTAAATGGTGGTTAAAGAGCTTTCCCCACCATATTCCGTGACTTTATAGCCCTGGGAAGGGAATTATCTGACCGTGATTAGGGCATAGGTGAGCTGGGAGTCAGGAAGGCAGGATTCCTGACCAACCACTTTCCTTGGAAGAGTTTTCTGTACCCCCAACCCAACCTCTCCCCCACCCCCCACCCGCAAGTGTTTCTTGCTACAAAGATGAATCCATGAATGAATTGTAAAGGACCAGTGGTGTTAAAATATGATTTTGAAAAGGGTAAAACCCACATAAAGGAGATTTTTGAAAACCGTATAGATGTGGGCAATCAGGAATACTGAAATGAGTTTGGTAATCGCGCAAAACTGGTGGTTATCCCACAGGACAAAAAAAAAAGTAATGTTTTGAGAACCATCTTTTTCTACAGGGCTGAAATCAAGTGCACCTCTTTCAAACAAGATTCAGCCCATTACTATCCATAATGGATAGTAATTCTACATTTTAACTGCTACTCTTACAGAGCAACAGAGGACCAGCAAAGGTACATACTCCTATATATACCCCCCAGACCAGCACTCCAGCCAAGGGATTCACAGGAATCTCTTCTGCCCATTTCCAAGTCTTTAACAACGTTTCCTGACAGTTCAAAATCCAAATACTTTGCTATTCAAAGTGTGGTCTCCGGACTAGCATCAGCCTCGCCTTAGAACTTGCCAGAAATGTCAAGTCTCAGGTTGCACCCAAATCTGCATTTTAACAAGATCCCCCAGGGGATTTTTAGGCACAGTGAAGCTTGAGACTCACTGCCTTAGAATGCAAGAGTTAGAAAGGATCTGGAGAACTCTTCTAGACCAGCCTGCTCATTTTACAGATGAATCCACTGAGACCCTGCAGAACTGACAGTCTAGCTCAAGGTCATAAGCAAGTTAGTAGAAGGTTTGCTATTCACCCCTGGATCTCTAGCCTGCAGAATAGTGCCCTTCCCACGTTGCAGAATGGAAGGTCATTAGGAGTTTGGACAGCTTCCAGTCCAAAGATTAGGACACTGAGGCCCAGGGATTGGATACAGCTTGCCTGCCTAAAGCCACACAGCCAGTTGACGACAGAGCCGGGATTCCAATCCAAATCTCCTGATCTCTCTACCCCTGATAGTAGATGCTTAATTTAAACTGATACCATGGAAGCCTTGACTCTCACATTAACATGCCACACTTAAAGCAATTTAGCCTTCAGGTATGTCACGTTGTATCCATATATAACCAGAGTGTCCTTTCTCTAATTTACCCAAAATGCTAAATTCTAAGTAGCCCCCACCCTTATGTTGGTTCAAAATCTCTCTTTCCTCTTATGAATTAAAGTTAACATTGACATTTCTAGGAGATTATTTCAAATAGAATTTTTCTAAAAGTCATTTGCTTTACTGGAGAGTTGCTATTTTTACATCAAAGAAGACAGTAGCATGAAAGTAAATCCCTTTTGCTCTTAAAGAGCTTGCTGCAAAGGTACATTATTAAATGAAAGACACAACTTGCTGGGCTGTGTAGAAAGTTACCCCACTCTTTGTTTTTTAAGGAGGAAAGGAAATAAAAGAAATACATTTGTTAGTATACGCATGGAAAGAAATCTAGAAAAATATGTCGTAAACTGTTTCCTGTGATGATCTGTAGGGACAGGGCGGTTCTATGGGCCTTCCTTCTTATGATAGATTTCTGTGTTCCTTTTGCAATTTTCTATTTGCTTGTGTGGGAGGCTGAATAATGACTCCCAAAGATATCTAGGTCCTAATCCCCGGAACCTAGGAATGTCTCCTTATATGGCAAAAGAGACTTTGCAGATGTGATTAAATTAAGAGTCTTGAGATGAAAAGATTATCGTGGATTATCCTGGGGAGCCCTAGACGCCATCACAGGTGTGCTTATAAGAGAGAGGCAGAGGGAAGTTTGTGACAGAAGAGGAGATGTGAGCACTGAAACATAGAATATAGATTCTCCCATAGGATTCAGCAACTGTGTTTCTGGGCAGATACCCCCAAAGAATTGAAAGCAGGGTCTTAAAGAGATCACTGTACATCCATGTTCATAGAGGCATTGGTCACAGTAGCCAAAAGGTGGGAGCAACCCAAGTGTTTTTGAGTGACAAATGGACGAGATAAAATATGATATATACATACAGTGGAATATTATTCAGCCTGGAAAAGGAAGCAGATTCTGACACCTGCTACAATATGTTTGAACTTTGAAGACATTACGCTAAATGAAGCAAGCCACTTAAGGACACATAAGAAATAAATCACAGAAGGACAAGTGTTACATGATTCTATATATGATATGATACCGTATGAGGTACCTAGAGTAGTAAAATTCATAGAGACAGAAAGTAGTGGTTGCCAGCTGCCGAGGGTAGGGAAATGCAGAGTTTCTATTCAATGGGTACAAAGTTTCAGTTTGGGAAGATGAAAGAGTCCCAGAAGGATGGATGGCGGGAAATAGTTACGTAACAACATGAATTAACTGAATCCACTGATCCGGACACTTAAAAATGCTTCCAATGGTACGTTTTATGAATATTTTACCAGAACGGAAAAGAGAAAGAAAACAGATCCTCTCCCAGAACCTCCAGAGGGAGTGCTTCCCTGCTGACAACTTGACTTTGACCCAGTGAAACTGATGTTCAAGCCACCAAGTTTGTGGTGATCAGTTACAGCAGCCAGAGGGAGGTTCGTAGTTCAGCTTCTATGACTTCGTACGCAGAAAAAAATCAAGATCTTTTGTTAAATAAAGAGATTTGAGCTCCATCAGCGCAGCCTCCCTTCTGTACCCTCTGTTCATTTCCTTGCCCACCCCCCCTCCCCACCTTGTTCTGCCTTCTCTTTGTCTAATACAAAAGCTTGCGTGTCAGGAATTTCCAGGAAGGGGAGTCTCCATTTCTCTGACCATTTCTTCCCCTTGGTGTAAAAACAAGACTATTCCTCTATCTTACCTCACGAGGTAAGGCAAATTTACTAGAAATGACCTAGAAGTGCAGGAGTCATAAATAATTCCGGCTTGACATTTATTTCCACGCTTTTGTGACCTTTCCAAAAATAAATCGCTGGGACAGCCGTGTAAATTCTTCCCTGAGCTGTCACGTGGCAGACATTGATTCAGGTCTTCTGGGAATGGCTTTCAGTCATCCATTATGGAGATGAAAGCAAACCCCAAGATTCTTGCTACTATAGGGATCGTTTTTTGGTAAAGAAAAAAAAAAATGCTCCAGCCCTGATAATTAAATCACTTACGGTGTAGATAGATAGGCTTCTCACCTACACTTCCCCGCGGCATCTGTTCCTCCCTCTTTGCTGATCGTGGCTCCCGGGCGTCCCTCAAGAAAACCATCCCTTGCCCCAATTCTGAGCCATTTAGTCTTGTGGGCTTGACCTCTCATCCCTCAGGTCTGAGGTCTGGCTTAATCCAATCTGTTCATTCCGTCCCCTGACCATGGAGACAGTTCAGGCACGCACTTGACCTAAGCCAGAGTTCTCAGAGGGCAGCACAGAAGCCTTCTGCTGGGAACACTAGAACCTGGATTCTCTTTCTTGCTGTGTGGGAATAAAAACCTTAGGAGTTGCCTCAACCGTTCCAGAAGCACACAAGGAGAGCCCGCTAAGACTGGAGGCAGGAGAGGTAACGGGTCCTGTTGCCACAGAAGGATCTGCCAGGTCCAGCCCTGCCCAAGGCTCGCTCACCTTTCAACTTCCCATGTACAGGAGCCTGGGAGGCCCTTCGTTGTTCATGCCAATTCAACTGGGGTTTTCTATTTATCGTAACAGAAAGTATCCTGCTATACCCACCTACCCAACTGACAAGGACATGGCCCATTCTCCTTCCCTCCACATGGAATCGGTCTCCAGGTTTTGTTACCTTTGCCCTCAGGTAGATTTCCCCAGCCCTCCACTTTTGCCGGGCACAACCCCCCAGCGGAGGCTGCCCTCCCCTTTCACCTGGACCGTTGCAATAGTCTCTTTACCATGTCCTATTTATCTATCTGCCACTGTGGACAGCACACAGTGGGTATTCAGCACATGTCTTTTCAATGCAATCTTTTTTAAATTTTTTAAAAAATATATTTACTTATTTTGAAAGAGAGAGAGAGGGGGGGTTGGCATGCAAGCATAGGAGGGGCGAGAGAGAGGGAGAGAGAGAATCCCAAGGAGGCTCCACACCGTCAGTGCAGAGCCTGACCTGGGGCTCAATCACACAAATCATGAGATCATGACCTGAGCCCAAATCAAGAGTGAGACACTCAACCGACTGAGCCACTCAGGCACTCCTTAAATGCAATCTTTTAAAATTGGCAAGTACATGGGGTGCCTGGGTGGCTCATTCGGTTGAGCATCCGACTTCAGCTCAGGTCATGATCTCACACTCCCGTGAGTTCCAGCCCCACGTCGGGTTCTGTGCTGACAGCTCAGAGCCTGGATCCCGCTTCAGATTCTGTGTCTCCTTCTCTCTGCCCCTCCCCTGCTCATGCTCCGTCTCTCTCTGTCTCGAAAATAAATAAAAACATTAAGAATTTTTTTTTAATTGGCAAGTATAGGGGCGCCTGGGTGGCTCAGTCGGTTGAACGTCCAACTTCAGCTCAGGTCATTATCTCATGGTT